TAGAAAAATAAAAAATTGACATTTTTAGAAAAAAATTTAAAAGTTTACTATTTTATTTTAAAACCAATAAAATTAATATTCTTTAAGAGAATAGTATTTATCTATCTACTTTACCACTTAAAAATTAGAAGAAAAACTATTTCAAAATTATATTGTTTTAATAAACTCTCGTTAAAAAAAATTTTAATATTTTATTTTTAAAATATGAATTATATATTTTTTTATCTTTTCTCATTATATTTCATTGAAACGATATAATTTTAAAATAATTTTTCTTTACATTTTTAAGAGATTAAATAGATAAACACTAATCACTATTCTTAAACAAAAAAATGTTGATATTTATATCTTACTTGCATTTTTTTCTCAAGGTTCTAATTAATTAAAATTTACATGTCTTACAAATTAAATGAATTAAGAATAAAAAAATATTTTTTATTTATATCTCAAAATAAAAATATGTATATATTATAAAAAAAAATTATGCAAATAAATTATCCACGTTGCACAAAGTGTGGCCTCACATATCTTCCCATTTAGTTGTACGGTGTACATAAATAACACCTAAGACTTAACACTGACGGTCCATCTGAACCATCACGTTTCCTATCCAACGGTCAAAGACGAAACAGTCAATAGTTACAATAGTCCGCGATACACTGAAACAAAACCGGAGATCCAGAAGCTTCCAAAGAGAAAACATAGACAAGATTCGTTTAGGTCCTTGGGTTGGGCCCACCCTAGATTCTCAAGGTACCTCCGACCTTGTCCGCCACGAATCCTAAATCCACAACGAATCTCCATCGGACAGCCGCCAATTTCTGTTAATTCCCGTTATTTCCCGCCACCCAAATCTAAAAGGAATTTGATTTGTGTAAATATAATGATTTTGAGGTCTGGGGATGGTTTAAGTTTGTGGCGGAGTTAACGGGAGCCAAGAAAAAGGAAAGGCCCCGGGGTTCAGGGAGTTTGATTTCTGAACTGGGTTTCTCTCGGAAATTATGCTCCAGCTTTGTTTGATGGCTTCTCATGGGTACCCTCCTGGGCTTGTTTTTCCCCAAGATCAGGGCACCGTCAGGACGATCAAGGTAAAAAATTTCTAGCTTGATTGCTGAGATATGTTTGTGATTTCACTCGGGTTTCTGGTTCACACTGACTTCAATGTTTCTTCTTTTGATTATAGCTGATGGTTGGTCATGTTTGCTTGTGGAATCTGATGTGTTTTCCTATCTGGGTATTTTCTAAATTTACTACATATGGATTTTTAGTGTGGTAATCTGTTGTAGGAATGGATATTCATGTTTTGTTAGTTCTGTGTTGCTTGCTGTATATTATTTTAGGTTTTAATTTGTGCAGCCATCCGGTGTTTTCTTTATCTAGTATTTGTTTACCAGGTTTATGTTGTGTTAAAACTTCAGAATAATCACTGAGGATATGCAAAAGTGAAATTCTACTCTCTGTTGTAACTGTGAATAAGCTTGCAATCTGGGATATTCAATGCCTTCTTTTTGAAAGCTTACAAGTAAAAGAGTGTATATTGTTTGCTGAGACAGGAGTTTGCACCTTGTCTACCTATTCGGGAAGCAAGACAAGACCTAGTACAATGTGGGGTCCGCAATCTGAGGTTAAATGAATACCAGGAGCCCTGGAAACCAATCACTGCGCTCTGTGGGGCTAACCAGCTTCAAAAGTTTGACTCAACAGTTGGGAAGCCCTTAGTTCTTGACATGCAAGGTGTGTAACTTGCCAGTTTATTTAGTGGGAAAGTTTTTGAAGGTGATTTAAATGATTTTGCTAGATGCATTTGAAAATTCAATAGAAAACAGAATTTCGATTTAGTCTAGGTTAGTATCTTCTAAATTTGTTAAATCCTCATGAATGATGTGCCATTTAAAATGTTTATCCAATTCTGGTGTTAGATTGTGTATGCATAATTGACACATGCACCTTCCTTGCAAAATTATGTGAATGCGAATATAAATCTGTGCAATGCTACGTTTGTAAAGAGACTGTGGACAATAGAAAATGAGATCCACCAAAATAAAGAGAAACAGTTCTTGAAGGAAACTGAATGAGGATTTAGTTAGGTTGATCTGTCAATTGAAGGAGAACTATTGATAATGCTGTAATGATTTAATATTGCTATGAGAGACATGATTAGTATGTAATGGTAATGCCAAACATTTTTTGGGCATTTGACAGGAAAATGTGTCAGAAACCATTGTTAATTTATTTCCTTATTCCGTTTTTCAGTAATTTTTGCAATAGTTTGTTGAATTGCATGTAATATGCTGCCATTTTGGTTACAGATGCTTGCTCCAGCTCAGTACTCTTCAGCTTTGGGATAGCTGAAAATTGTGCGAGACATGAAAAAATTGTAAGGTTTCTTACATCTGGATCGCGTGAATTGGAGAAAGGTGGATTAGATTTATCTTCATTGTCTAACTTGATGGTGCTTCAACCAAACCTTCAACCGTTATTGTTTGATATGCATCAACAAGAACTTGCTTCATCTCTAATTTACCCTAAGCCTAGTATCAGAGTTGATGATGACAAGCCTTTGCTGGACTTCATTGGTGATATGGTTTGTAATTCAAAAATTACTGTTAACCCAGATGGTCGAGTTCTAGTAACAGGCAGTGGGACAGAGATGAAAGATATCCTTCCAATAGTTGCTGAATTTTGCTTGTCAAAAAACTCAAGCAAGTCTAGCAAGCAACCTATGTTGGTCCCATATTTTGATAGGTATTGATACTTTAACCTGGTTGATTTAACTGAAAATGAGGAAGTGTTCAATTCAGCCTTCGAGTACTGTCTAAATATTTACTTGATTTGGAGTATGTGATATAAATCGATTAATTGGCTATTCATTTTGGGCTTGTTAATATGATTATTTAGGCATCTGACCATACACTGTTCTGATCAAACAGGCCTAAAAGCCGCAGAACACGGGCTGCCCTTAGCTTGTCTTCTCAAAAGTTGGATGCTGTGACCATCACACCGGCAAAGAGGTATCTGACCCATTTGATTATTTTGAGATGATGAAACAAAATATATTTTGATTATTATGAGAAAAATGGGATCTTCAACATCATTATTTTCTTTCGGACGATGATTGGTGCATACCTGGATCCAACACTCAGTGTGCACCCCCCACATAAAAAAAAAAAAAATTGGACCGGGTGATGGGCTTTTTTTTTTGTTATATGATGTGTGCACAACCGGGTGTTAGATCCGGGTGTACACACATCATTTTCCTTTTCTTAATTAAGATCATATTTCTTTATAAGTGAGACAAAGACAAGTGGCTTTTCTTTTATGTAATAGTTTTAGATAATATTGATAGCAGTTGAAAATATAGAAATCATATAGTAATAGTGAGTATAGAACTTAAAGGCCTTACAATATAAGATTGCAGGAAGAGGAATGATGTATCACATAAGAGTTAAACATGGTAGGATCTGACCTACATGTTTGATTTGGTATCTTATGTTTTAATTTGTCAAAATTACTAAACCTTGCTAATGAACATGTTACCATACACTTATTGTTTAAAACATGATATTCATTGGTACATTTCTTTTGAAATTGCCTGTTCAAAATGCTTACTTCTCGTGTGCTTACATCTTACTGCTACACTTTTTTGACAGTCCCGAGAAAACTAAGGTCAAGCCATTGCCAAAGAAGAAAAACTCACGGAAGGTAGGCAGAGAAAGGGATCTCTACAAAAAGAACTTCTTCCATGCATGTGAGAGCCTACTTTCCTTAATGATGAACAAGAGACGGGATGGAAAAATGGCAATTCTTTCTATCCAGAAATCTGGTAGGGAAATTCCTGAGCTCCTGAACCAGTTCTCTGCTGGCATTGCTGGGACAGGCTTAGCTGTTCTTTTTTCTGTCATTTGTAAAGTAGCTTGTGGGAGTGTACCCTTCTGTTCGTCTAAACTCTTCAGCACAGGACTTGGCTTTGGACTGGTTTGGCTCTCTTGGGCAGTAAATAGACTGAGGGACTCAGTTGTCTACATCAGCAAAAATGCAGGCAAGTTGGATTTGAAGGAGGATGAGATGATAAGCAGAGTGGATGAAAGTGTTAATCAGATTTACTTCAGAGCTGCAACATTGATGGCAGCCGCAATGCTGAGGCTTGCATGGAGGTAGATGAAGATTGAAGTCTGGCAGATGCTAATAGTTTGGATAACATCTTGACCAGCTAGGAGCCTCGATTGTAAATGCAGTAGCAGGTGCTGATCAGAGGAAGTCAAAGTTTGTTGAGTTTGGAGATGAATGTGAAGTGAGAAGGCATAAATCAGAGGATAGATGCAAGGGTTGACTTTGAGCACGAGATAGAAGTAATAGCTTGTTTATATATGGTAGAGGTCATAAATTGTAAAAGGAGGCCGTCCTTGCTAAGAAAATGATACACACAATGCAAAATTTTCATGTTGAAGTTTAACCGATTCTTGGCTACTGTGTATGCCGATTTGTCACCATACCAGACATATTTCATGTTGTGCAGTGTTAACTCAGCAATTTGCATTGTCTGGGGAGAGAATTTTACACCCTAGGATGGGCATGGTGACCTCTAATTTTAGTTTTTATAGGTTTGAATTAAATTTCTTTTGGCCATCAGGTTTGAATTATTCTTAAAAAGCGTAAGATTTGTAATTGCAAACCAAAATGCTAAAAGATCAAGGGCAAACGGAAATATTGCAATAATAACTCAACAAAATGCCATAAAAAAGATTACTGGTTATGATGTGGCATATCCACTTGGCGACTGTTCAACAGAAACTATTATTCTCAGTTAATAAATGATTAAAAAAAAAAAAACTGTTTTAACTGTGACTAAAAATGTTAGAAAAGAAAATGTAAGCAAATGCTGAAGATAAGCTTCTCATACCAACAATCTCTATAATAGTTCCTCAACAAACATGGCACAAACTGCAGGATGAAAGAAACTCTCTATTTCTGGTCCTTTAAGCAATAACAAGAGATAGAGAATTGCAGCTTCTCAGCTAACTACTTTTGATACCACACCAGCACCAACCGTTCTACCTCCCTCCCTCAAGGCAAATCTTTGACCTGTCATGTTATCATAAGTAATGAATCAGCATTTTAAACAGGGTGTGACTACATATTCAGCCCTTATTTATAATACACTGGAATCTTTCATCTTAGCATATAAATGCAGTAAAATGATGAAATAGTAGTTAAAAGGATACAAGCATAAACTGATTATAAAGAGCACATAGGATGGATTACAGCCATGACGCATGCATGGAACTATAAAATCTACTTTACACTAAATATCAGATATTGAAATTTATGCAAATGAGAAACACAAGATATGCTACAAGATGGGCGCTAACAAACCCGCTTCAAGAGGCACCGGTTGGATCAACTCAAAAGTTGCAGTAACATTATCCCCAGGCATGACCATCTTTACATTTTCAGGCAATTCAACTTTTCCAGTGATATCTGCAGTTCTCATATAAAACTGGGGCATGTAGTTTGAGGCAAATGCTGTATGTCGCCCACCTTCCTCCTTTGTGAGGACATAAATTTCTGCCTCGAACTTCTTATATGTCTTCAAAGACCCAGGCTTGGCAATTACCTAGGCATTAAAAGATTAAGATGCTTCACCATGTCTTACCCAGTTGTCATGATGAAATTAGACAAGTGACAAAAAAAAATATACCTAAATGTTTGATTTATTCCATTTCAAAAAGCTAAAATGCTTCACTTGTGAAGGAATTAGGCAATAAAACAAAATATGAGCACAAAATATGGATAAGAAAGATTAAAATAATTTTCAAAAATCCAAGTCGTTGCTAAAGAATCAAACAGAGAGCTAGGGACTGGTTTTCAGTTTTCAACACTAACCATTCCACGCTGTATATCATCTCGCTTTAGGCCTCGGAGAAGTAGTCCAACATTGTCACCAGCCTAGTAGAATAAGCAAGCCCATTAATAAAATTCAGCGGATGCAGAAAAGGCTTAGTAGAAGAAGAAGCCATTTTAGTTGCTTACTTGTCCTTGGTCCAAGATTTTCTTGAACATTTCCACACCAGTAACTGTAGTTTTCAAAGGTACACCCTGCAGAAATAAAGCTCAGTATAAAACCAAACACAGTTTTGATGCTCGATTACAAGCATATCAAGTTTAGTTTCTAACGACTTCCAAGAGGATGAATTGTTTAGAATGTGAATTACTGATTGGATCTGACCCCAAGAAGTTATGACAAGATATTGATCATTGAATTTTATAGAAAAAGTAACCATATCAAAAATCACTTTACCCACATACCTGCATTAACCCCAAAACCTCAACTTCCTCACCAACTTTAATGGTCCCCTGCTCAACACGACCAGTTGCAACAGTTCCACGCCCCTTCAACACATCAACAAATTTCATTTGGGGTTACACAGGCATTGGAGCCTAAAACATGTACCTTTCTCATACAACAAGATGAAATTTACAGACAAACAGGAAGTAAAACTACTATAGAAAAAAAAAAGAGGAATTAAAAGTTCAACTCAAAATCACTTGATCACATTCTAAAAAGTTCATTTTATAGGTGCATATGAAGTATAAAAATGATTAAATAACATTAGATCAGCAATGCAATGCAATTACAGCAACTCCATAGTCAATCAACCATAATCATGTGCTCATCAAAATGCATCTAAAGAGTAAAGACTTGACCTTTATTTTTCCAACTAAGCCTTAACCATAAAAATGCATTTCCGAGCATTTAAAAGAATCCTTTTGAGATTGCCAAAGAAGAAAGGCCCAGAACTAAGAATGAGATCCAAAACTAATAAATAAGATGCTGCTACAATGATATTTCTTGTAGGCTGTAGCCAATCTCCGGTCTAGAAATTATTTACACAGCAATGCCAAATGAATGACTTCTCTACCTGAATTGAGAAAACATCTTCAATTGGCATTAGGAAGGGCTTGTCAAGCTGCCGCACTGGGTCAGGAATATATTGATCCACAGCCTCCATTAGCTTTATAATTGCCTGTCTGCCTATTTCATCATTGGTACCTTCTAAAGCGGACAAAGCTGATCCCCTAACAATTGGTATTTCATCCCCAGGGAACTTGTAGAAGCTAAGAAGCTCTGTCACAAATGTAAGCTTAGATGATTAGGTTCAGGCAACCTACAGAACACCACCAACAAAAAAAAAAAAAAAATCTCAAGATAATGATTAAAAGGCCACCCACCACGCAGCTCCATTTCCACAAGTTCCAGAAGCTCCGGATCAGTTACAGTATCGACTTTGTTCAGGAAACATACAAGTGATGGCACTCCAACCTGGATAAAAATAGCAAGTTAAGTTCATAGATTGAAGCTAAAAACATTACCAACAACATCAAACCATACAAACTTTAAATAACTCATAGTAATAGGATATCCACCTGGCGTGCAAGCAGAATGTGCTCCTTTGTCTGTGGCATGGGTCCATCAGATGCAGATACCACCAGGATACCACCATCCATTTGGGCTGCTCCAGTAATCATGTTCTATAAACATGATGAAGTCATTAGATGCGTTCATTAGAGAAGGAAATGCAAGAATGCACTTTCCACCTGTTGTTAGACACTCCATATTCAAAAATAAGAAAATTTTCAAGGGTTTGGGCAAGTTAAATGCGACTAGCGCATTAAAAATCAATAGATACAACATCAAGTTTTGCCAAAAATTCAAATGCATATTGTCCTCTAGGTTTCTAGTTGCATTTATTTATTTAAAAGGTGCATTGAAATCCACATCACAAACTTCCTTATAAAATTTAAGCTAAAAAAAAGAGAAGCAACCATAGTTTCAATTCAATTACAAAGTTAAATCTACATCTCTTTGCTATATTTCTATCAATTTGGCCCTGTAGCAATACAGTTATGCAGCAAGAAGACTCTACAAGCTTATACAGTTTGACAAGATGAATTTACATTTACAGCTTACTTTAACATAATCTGCATGTCCAGGGCAGTCTACATGAGCGTAATGGCGCTTAGCTGTCTCATACTCCACATGAGCCTGCAATACAATTTAAGTTCCCAAGATTAGCTGACAAAAAATATAAGAACTATGCTAAACCTTCACAGCACATATAACTACCATGCACAGATGAATAAAACAATAATGAACCAACCGTTGCAATTGTAATTCCTCTCTTTTTCTCTTCAGGGGCCTTGTCAATTTCATCGAAAGCAACAGCCTTAGCTTTTCCCTCTTCTGCCAGTACCTATGCACAAATATCAAAGTTATCATAATGTAAGTAACACATTCATAATACAAATTAGTCAAAAAATTTAAACCACAAATGAATACACAAAAAACGCTTCCAATTTAAAGAGAATCAAAATCTTGAACATGCAAACCTTCGTAATTGCTGCAGTTAAGGTCGTCTTTCCATGATCAACATGCCCAATTGTACCCACATTCACATGAGGCTTTCTAGAAGAGGAAAAACATCCGAGGAATGAGAAAGAGATTTACAAAATTAGTTTCAAATCGCAATCCTTAGCTTTTGGTTTTTTCCTAGTTAAGCAAAAACTACTTCACCGTTTTTTACATCTCAAAAACGTGTCTTTGACGCCTCAGAAAAGTCATCGCACCTCTATCCTCACCTCAGGAAAGAAAAGGGAAAGGCTTTTTCGAAACCCCGAGTCACACAGTAACCAATTACAGTAGATTAAAGGCAAAAAAATATCCTTTTCAACACCAACAACCAAAAACGGAAGTGAGAACTCACGTGCGAGTGAAGGTGGCCATGGATCTCCACCAGGGGTTAGTGGGAGTAAAAGTCGACTCATTTGCGGAGAGAGAATCGGCGACTGAGAAGTGGGAGGAGATGGAACTCCGAGCACAGCAGTAAATCGGGGAAGAGGCTGAGAAGAGGCGCCTAGAGTTAGGGTTTCGAACCGCGACGGAAGCCATATCTAAGAGTTATTGAAGCTAGCTATGTACAAAGAAAATCTG